TAATCTCCAGCGATACAAATCCAATGTGAATCGCCACTTTCGCATAGGCATCGCTCTTTGAGCACCTTAAGGATTTTCCTGTAGTGCTTGTGTTTCGTCCTCAAAGAAAAATATACGAAACCTCCGTCTGAGGTAAACTCTGTCAACCAGTAACAGCTCCATTTCGAGAATAAAGCTCAAAGCGGAAAAAAAAATTCAAAGTGTTAACACTCACAAAAATCCGAATATCGTGCCCAGTAGGATGTGGCAAATGCGTGACGGAAAACAACTACTTTTTCAGTCAATACCACGATAGATATTGAATGAAACTGGCCGATGGTATGGACGAAAATCCTTTTTAAAACAAACAACATTTATTTCGATTTTCACTACAAAAGATTCACAAAACCGCGAAACGTGTTTTGCTATACAACAGTTTTCTCAAGTTTTTTGAATTCACGTTACAGTTTTTTTTTCTGGAAATATATTCCTCTAACACCAAAGTTATATATTTAGGTCATACACTTGGCAAATTATGAAAGTGAGTTTTAGCGAGAAAACTTGATACACTTGAAATATTATCCTCGAGAGTATAACATCGCAGGAATTTCTACATTTCGGAATTGGTTATCATTTTTGCTTGTTATTTTTAATTTCATGGAAAACACCACTCATTGGCTATCGAAAATATTGAAAAGTAAATGGAGTTAGAATTTGATAAAACTTTCGAAAGTGACATATTATTGTTTTTACATAACATTGCTCATACAGAACAGAAGTGACACGACCCAAATTTTCCAAAATTACTTTTATTAGTCCGATAGACGAAAAATCAGTCAATCTCTCGTTTGTAAAAATGCTATTCCTTTTGGGTTATGTTCTACAAGAAAAAGTTACACTTTCGAGGTGAGTCAGTTCTGGTGTAAAATAACAGTAACTAATATCATTCGATTACAGGAATGATGTCAGATTTTGAGTTTCGCCTTTTTTTCTCTGAAAAAAACGTTGATAGATTTTATTTCGTTTGACATTCATAGTGACAAAATTTTAACGGTGTCATTTTTCCTTGGGAATTATACATTTTAGTTTTCGTTTGACACATAGAGTGATGAATTTCAGTTCATGTTGTTATAATCACGAATTTATTAGTGAGTCGTGCCTTTTTGAGTTATGGCAATTATATTGTGAAGTTAGTTCTTTTCGTTGTATGTTATGCATCGTTGGATACTAACGTGTATTTGATAGTTTTTATTTCGTTTCACATCCATAGTGACAGAATTATTTTAACGGTGTCATTTTTCCTTGGGAATTATACATTTTAATTTTTGTTTGACATATAGAGTGATGAATTTTAGTTTATGTCGTTATAATCACGAATTTATTACTGAGTCGTGCCTTTTTGAGTTATGACAATTATATTATGAAGGTAGTTCTTTTCGTTGTATGTTATGCGTCGTTTGATACCTCATATGTATTCAATAATAATCAGTCAAGAAATCAAGAACTAGTTGAAACATGAATAACAGAATGGCACTGATTTCTAATCTAGCTGAGAAATCGTCAATTCCAATCCAAATTAAGACACTACTTCGTATACTCATGATGCAGAATTATTCAATAATGGACAGTGGTTCACGATGTAGAAATTGAAACGTCAATTGCTCTAGTTGAAGTTGGAAAAGAAAGAAATAATCACATTGTATCTCAGATTGAATAACATCTTAATTCAGCCTAATGTTAGCACAAAAACTTTTAAGAAATGTAGGAACATATACTCTTTAAGCTAGCGTCAACGATTGGAAAAAACAAAATCTATGCTCATAGGCCGTGTTGGAATGGAAGCTGTAGTACCAAACAATTCGTCTGCTACTGCGGCAGACATCATCAGTGGTATGGATGAACGATATATCTCGAGTTATCCTGTTACCGAGACTTTGATATGTTACAAGAGACCAGTATGAAAAAGAGAGAAGGCAGATGTTCTTCTGAAGAAACTTCCTGTTGTGGTAGCCATTTCTTCAGCAGTACATTGTCAGGCTTTCCTGGCAGCTCGTCTTCTTCCCATTTCCATATTACGTTGAAGGGAAGTTCTGACAGAGCTTGAGTGATGATGTCTCTCATTTCCGTTCCTAAGCTAGTACTTTTGACATTGCTACCAAGGCTGAAGTAAACAACTCCCCTCGAAGAGGCATCAAGAAATTTTTGGATATCCTGAAAATATTTAAAACATTCAGTTTTTGAAGGATTTCGAAGTTATTTAGAAAATTAATTGGAGTTATAAAGAAGGACTCATTTCTATTTACTTATTTCACCAATATCATCGCCCAGAACCGTTGCTCCTGAATGTAAGGCGGTAGAGAAACAAGTAGAAATGGGAATTCAGATAATTGACTATATTGGTAGTGCGTGAGAGAAATGTAAGCCACGAAGTAGGAAAAAAAATTAAAATTTCAAACTGTTAAAGTTTTGCGAAGTTCATTCATGAAATTAGAGTTCATAAAACCAAATTTTGAACTATTTCAACTAGTATGGATGACTTTGTTCAACTACATCGTTTCAATAATTTGATTATTAGAGATCTAGAAGGAGCCATGGACACGAAAGTATAACATATCAAATCATTTCATGACTATCGTCTTCTTCCATATATTATATTGTTCAATCGATAAAATAAAAATATAAATTGATTGATGTAGCCGTTACAACTTGCTTGGAGATCATCATGAAAATTGAAGAACATGGAAAATATCATTTCTCAATTTTCGAAATGAAAAGTGTCTGAAAACTGTGTCAAGCTGAGATACATACGAAAGATGAAATAAATATTTTGAAATGGAATTTCGAAACTCTCCTCTGGGTTCTCTGGGTGGAGCGCATTTGAAACGTCTCATTTTCCTTGACTCTGGCGCATAAATCATAAATCAATTGGACCAATGGCATGAGTTATGTTGTCTTTGAGGACCGCTGTGTTTCGCGGCTTGGTCGCAAATACCTGCCACTTGAGACAGTGCTAACTGCTCCAGCGAGCACATGTCGTTGTCTATGATCGTTTACCTTCTGTTTCTGGGTCAATTGAATTTTGTACGGGTGCAGGCCCAGGTAACGACGCAAAGTTTGCCAAGTGTGGTTTGCGAAAGTCCAGGTTCTTGTGAGCGATGTGAAATCGACTGCCACGGATTATCCTGCCAACTCTCACAGACAGCGGCGATGTATTCGGCAGATCTTGTATTTTGTCAACGTACGGGTATTGGTCGATCGTTTACTGAAGTAGTGGACTCAAATTTGTTAATAGTCCTTCCAGTAGGACGCGCGGTACGTTGCCCGAACAGAACACCTATTCTGATAGAACAATTTCATTATTTACACGTGTTTTTGAATGCTATATTCGTCTATGGTGATTTGGTAAACAGACTGAATGAATGACAACTAATTTGACAGATGTAGCTTCAACAAGATGGCCGTTATCAACTGTCGAATTTCGGAAATCCCTGTTGGATAACCCCATATTGGAGGTTTATTCTCCGAAATTATTATTCATAGAGAGCATTATTAAATCAAAGATGCGTTTTCATATATCACAGAAATATTAACTTGTTGTTTCAGATTGGGTTAGGTTAGGTTGGGTTTGGTGTATCACTGGCGAGGATTATAAACAGCAACTGCTTTTTGTCGGGTTTGACCTCACTTATACTTCAAAATGATAGGAAAAAGGAATTTTTCGTGTAGTTGAATGTTCATTTATAAGTGTTGTTTCGGAAGACTTTCTCTTTCAGCTTATATCTTAAAGTACCTTCTTTGCATGAAAATACACATCGTTGTCTAAGAGTTCATTTTGAACTCGATTTCTTCTTTCTTTTCTTCGGAAATATACGGTAATAGTTGTTTTAATGTGTCTTTTATCATAAAATTGAGTGTAGGAGAAAAAATTGATACAAATGAATGGATATCATTCAAGTAATTTGGCACCTCATATCGAAAGAGCAATTTGGAAATTATTTTTATCAACTATCAATCACCTATTGTTTTCAACTATCAATTTTCGATGTTATAAAAATGAAAATGTACTGATAAACGATAAATTATTCGAATGGGTTTACTTTGTAATATACCTCATCATGTATACAATCTAACATTTTTCATAATAGATCGTTCCAAGGATTCAGATTCTGAATTTTTATATTTCAAGCTCTTCAGAATATTTTCGCTCTTCTGACATAAGGCAACTTCACCAGGACGTACCCAGATGTAGAAATATAGGAGATCGTGGATTTTTTTGAAGTACTTGACCCAACAACTTGTAAGTTTTCCAATGTTTGTGACTGAATAAGTGAATATCTAATTATTCGTTACTGAAGAAAGGGCCGTAGATCACCAATTGTAGTATGTACTGTTATCAGCTATAATATCCGAAGGACATTGATAACTAACGAAATAACTTTATCACAGTTTTCGAAAGAACGTTATTTGGTAACATCCCGACGCCGAAGGCGGAGGGATGTTACCTAAAATAACGTGCTTGAGGAAGTTGTGATAAAATTATGAGTTATTTATCAATGTTCGAGGGATATTCGGTGAGAAAATTTTTTGCAATTCGAACAAAATTATTTATTGAACACACAGTTATTAAAAGAACAATTCGTATAATGATATACTCCATAAATATTTTCCAAGTGTATTTTTTACTATTGACAGTATTTTTTGGTGTATTTTCTTCAATGATTTTGTCAATTGCCGCTTCATTTTGAACACCAAAGCGAGGAAGTGACATTTTCGAAATAAATTGAATTACTGAAATGTCAAACAACTTTATTGTGTTGGTTGCTTAGCAATGTCATGACATAAGTGATAACTACCCGTGAAAACTATCCATGGGTAGTTATCAGTGTAATGATGGTTTCATTGGTTATTTCGACACACATGACTAGAAATAGACAAATTTGATAGGATAATTTTTTTGGCAAAAAATTTTCTGTATAATTTTTCAGTTACTCACTTCCGTGGCTATTATACGGTTATTTCTAATATGTATCTAGGATCAATGGAATACGATAAATGGCAAAAACTTTAAGTTCCCCAACTCTTCATGCCGTTAACAAATCTAGAAGGCTGGATGGTACAACCAGGAGGCGACTTATCGCTTCCTATGAATCTGTATTACAACTATTTCTTGAGCAACAGAAGTAGAATCTGCATCATAAAAGGAAACAAACTCCCTTCAATAAAGTCAGTAAATTTGAACTTTGAACAATATTGAATTGACTCAACAATCGAAATTTCTGTCTTTCTATTTTTTTGGTTTGTTTTTCTACCCACGAATAAATTCGATATAAATCCCTATTATCAAGCCTTAGTTATATAGAGTTTTCCAACAGAGGCTTTCTAGTTTTGACGATTGATAACTGCCATCTTGTTGAAGGTACATCTGTCAAATCAATTGTCATTTATTCAGTCTGGTTTGCCATATCATCATGGACGTATGTAACATTCAACAACCCGTGCAAATAATAAAAATTGTTTCATCAAAATAGATGTTCCTTTCGGGGAACGTACCGCTCGCTTAGCCCATTTTGAGGTCGCCATAATCTTCCTACCGGCGATTTGACCCTGTTAGAACTCTTCTTGTGCTGTTTTCATGAGCCGCAGGTGTATGCGAATGAGCCACAACTCACAGCGATCCTCAAAGCCAACATTAGCCATGCAATCGATCAAATTCGGCGTCAGACTCATGGAAAGTGAACGTATCAGATGCGCCACAGAAGCCGTGGCGGACATTTGAACGACGGTTTGTTCCACACATAATGGCTTCAATAGATCTTTCAAACACCCTATATGACAGAATTCATAGAAGATAACTAGCGAATCGTTGTCTGGTAGTAATACGGAAAAAATTAATGATAATGCATTACCTTGGGTAGTGGTTTGGCCTCCTTAATATGCACATTGCCGAAACTGATCACACTTGGTACATTAGCCACTGGTGTATTCAATATTGGATTACTGTTGATTAGCATCAGGCTGGTGTTTCCAATGACATCTCCCAAGTAGGGAATGTTTCTGCCAAAAAACTTTCTTGCTACTTTATCTGCTTCCGGAAGTAAACGCCAGTAGTAAATTGCCCTGTAGAAGATGTTGTGCAGAAAACTTGTCATTCTGTCTTTAAGTGTAGGTTCCCCATAGAAGTGAATGAAATTGTCAGGTCGTAACACAGGATGAGTTGGATTCCCAAGAGCATCGTGAAAAGGTATGAAAGGTTCTAGTGTTGATATTGCTGAAATACAAGCAGTTCATTTCGGTATTCTGAGAAATCTTTCCATATGAATAGTTTTGCTGGAAAAAATTAGTTGCCTCAAGCAAAAATTTGTAGTAAAAGTAATGAAGCAATAGAATTATGGCGGTTACTGAATCCACAATACACATCCACATCCACATAACTAAGAAGCAGCATTCAGTTCTATTTTGCTAAAAAGTTATTTTGTTGTTACAATTCAACTAATTTTTAAATTCATTGGAAAATTATGATACTATTCGAAATGATCATCAAGAACAACTATCTGGCGTCTGTTGTGTAGATAGTTTAAAAAAAAGAGAACTGAATTATCTGACAATGTAATAGATAAAACTTGAAGATGTTTCTCATTGAAAATTGTATGATAAACAGAATAGGAAAAAATCCTTTCAGCTTCTATTATAAGTTTTCGAAATATGAAAAAAAAAATGAAACTTTGACAACGGAAAGAAACAGAAGTCCCACTCACACTCACCTACAACTGGAGCTTTGAACTTGGCTGCGAAACCATACACAAGGGGGTGCAGAGCTTCCAATACGACCAAATCGAACTCATCATCATCTCTCTGCAACAGCTTTTGCACGTCCTCATGGGCGATCTCTGCTTGTAACAGTTTCGAGAAGAAAAAGTCAATGAAGAATATATTCTGAAGTATGGTAGCATCTCGGAAAGATTTGAGAGGTACGTTCATGTATTTGTAAACGAAGCTCACATCTATTTGTGTCAAATTGACCAGCGAAGGATCCGCGAGGACATTCGTAGTCATAACAGTCACGTTGTGACCTCTCAGAGAAAGTTCCCTCCATATAGGTTGGTAGACTTCTTGGTGGCTCACTGATGGTACGAAAGTGATGGCCAATATGTTGGCACTTTCGATGGGTACCACAAGAAAAATGGCTGCAAAGGAGATGTAGTAATGCAGTAGATCCATTTTCCAATAGTACCTAACTAAGACTACTGCGTTTGACAGTGATAATAAATCACCTGAGACAACAAATTCTTGAGTGGTTTTTATTGATAAGTTATATTAGGTTATCTTTTCGGTGATGCGTAATATCGAAAAAATATAATGAGAACAATGGCTAGAATTCATCAGGACAGATGAACACAATTAGATAGTGTCTCACCTGATAGGGATTTGTACAAGTGGAACACTGTTTCCCAATGTGATTCAAACGATGGTCAAAACATCCACTACCACTGTTTTCGAAACCTTTCAGAAAATGTTGATATCTAGATGATTTTGAGAATTTATTTGAATAATGTAATATAGCTGAACAATTTCTAACAAAAAAATCTGTAGATTATCGTATATATTTCTAATGGACGATTTTTCAAATATAAATGGAACTGGATCAAATATTCAGATGATGAAATGCTTGTGAATTTTCGTAAAAAACATAATTTTTTCATGTCCATTGATGTCATACATTCCAAGAAATTAAAAAAATTTATTTCGTGTTTATATTGAAACAACGATAAAAATAAAAACAACAATAAAAATTAATTGGTGCTCCGAGGCGACTTCATTGATTCCAGTGGCGTATTTGCTTTTTCAGCTGCAGGAAAACCCGGAAAAATCTGCAGTACCACATTATCTGAAGATTTTGATCTGCCAATATCCTCTCTCTCATAAAACAAAATATAGGGTGTCTCCAGAGACTCTGGAGATAAGTACTCTTTGATCATTCCCATATTAATTTCAATTTTATATATATTTGAGTAGGTTCTTGAATCCTGTTTGGTATAGTGGTTTCGTGGTTCTTGGGTCTTGGATTCTCTTGGAAAATGGAAAGTTTTCTTTCATTTATGTATCAAGACGTTTCGCCTAGTTGAGAGCTTTTTCATTTCATTTAGAAATGAAAAAGAAATTTCATTTAGAAATTTTGTTATAACTCATTGGACATTTGACTGATTTCCTTGCTTGAAATTATTGATAACTTTTCAAAATGTAAATAATATTGATGTGCTGTTGTTCTTCTTATTTGATAGTGGTTGATAGTGACAGTTCTGGTATGTTTTTCTATGTTTTTTATGTTTTTTTTTGAGAAATTAGAATGAGCGTTGTTTTCTTGAAAATGGCAGGTGGATGGATCTTCTGTGTGTGTCATTTCGTCGTTTCGATGATTGAGGGAAATGAGGACGGAAATGATCCAAGAGAATCCAAAATTCAAGAACCACGAAACAACTATATATACCACTGATACCACTATATATATACCAGCTGATACCACTATTGCTATCTCGGAAACGGTAGGTCGTACAAGGACGGTTAAAAGGAACAAAAGTTACCTTCTCAAGGATGCAACATAATGGTATTTTCAGATCCATAAAATCATCAACGGTTCCCGAGATATTTGCAAAAAACTTAAAATGAAAGATTTTATTTTTTTGCTCTACCGCCTCCATTTTCAATAATATCAAAAAATAACAAAAAACCTTTTGGCTTTATTTCATGTGCTTTATAATCTGGGTGAACTAATTTTTCACTGCAACGTTTCGTTCATTGAATTTCATCATCAGTATATGTTTTTTAAAACGAACCTGTATATTTCTTTATTCATTTTCGTAGTCTATATAATTACAAATTCGTTGATATATCACATCTATATTTACCGACGTTTCTTCCCGAAACCACATCATAACTGTAATCTAGAGTTCTCCTGTCGATAATGTCGTACATTGAGTTTATAAATATTTGTATTCACTGAAATCCAACTAAATTTCTGTCATGATCGTCTTGAAAAAGAGAGACCAATAATCTTTGTATAAATACCAAGCCAATTTTTTTTAATTTTGTAGCTACCCAAAAATTTCTGTTCAGAAAATGAGGATATCAACAAGAATTAACTAATAAAAATACTGTATTAAAAAAGTCATAGATGATTTTCACGAGAAACATGATAAGCGATATCTTCTTTTTTTGAAGTAAGCCATGAAATACATGAATGTGAATGTCAAGTTAATTGTCACACAAAATAAAAGTTATTCAAATCATTGAGCGATTTTAAGGGAGAAACATGAATTTTTCCAATGACGAAAACGTGGATATGCTTTTTGTATATTGGAGATGTTTGAGGAATGCTACCAAATCTCTGGCAATGTATCAGGAATTGTATCCTGAACGACGAAAACCTAATCGTAGATATTTTCAACGAATCGAAAATACTTTACGGAATTATGGATCTTTTGAAAAACCCTCTGAAAGAAAATGTACGGTTACTGAATGTGGTGGAGATAATGAAACCGGCATTTTAAGTGAGTTCAAAGAAGATTCACAATAATGATAAAGTGACATTAATTTGATTTAGGATTCATGGAAAATAAGAAAATTGAGAACAAGGAAGTATCTCTGAGGGAGATTGCTCATAATTCGGCCATATCCACTACGTCTGTACGGAAAATTTTGAAGAAAAATAAATTCAAGCCTTATCGAGTCAGGAAAGTTTATCATTCGCGTTTAACGGACTCTAACAGGAGAAGAGTTTTTTGTAGATGGCTCATTAGAAAATTTTGCCAAGATAATGAAATTTGTAAAAAAAAATTGCAGTGTGATGAAAATACATCTACCAATAACGAATGGTTCAACAGAAATATACATTATCATTGGCGACAAGAAAATGAACATTTACAATTTTCAAGAGTGATATGGTGTTAACGTATGGCTTGGTGTTCTTGATAATAAAATTATTGGCCCCCAATTGTTTGAAACATTTCTGACTGGAGAACTATACTTGGATGTCTTATCAGGGACTCTAATTGAGTTATTAGAAGATTTGCCACTTAGCCACATAAGAAAATATGATTATTTACAACACGACGGAGCTCCACCACAACGCAGGAGAATCTGCAGAGATTTCCTCAATACAACTATGCCAGGAAGGTGGATAGGAAATAATGGTCCTATTGAATGGCCACCACGTTCATCGGACCTTGCTTTTTTAGATTTTTCGTTGTGGGGCTTCATGAAAGATCCAAGTATTCAGAACAAATTTTGAAAATATTGAAGAATTGAAAGATTCAATAAGTAGTGCCTGCATCGCTATCACTCCACAGATGTTAGAGAACTGCCACAAGCACACTATTTCTAGAGCAAGTATTTGTTTAAGAAATGATAGAAGACAATTTGAACATTTGATGCGATATCGCGCGAGACGGTAACTTAAAAAACATAACTTGAGACATTCCGTTATGGTGTTCATTTTTCGTTACATTTTCTGTCTATTTTTCAATGTGATGTATTAACGATACTGTTAGCTATGTGTTACAACAATAGTTTGATATTTGATTTCTCATTGAATAAAAAAAGTTAAATGATAGAATATTGACGGGAAGAAACGTCGAGAAACACATATGTTGTGATGTCAACGAATTTGTAATTATAATGACTACGGAAATGTATTAAAAAATATACAGGTCCGTAATTAAAAAAACATTGATGATGGAATTCAATGAACGAAACGTTGTATTGGAAAATGAGTTTACCCATGTTATGAAGCACATGAAATAAAGCAAAAAATGTTCTGCTTATTTTTTTGATATCATCGAAAATGGAGGCGGTAGAGCAAAAAAATAAAATCTGTCATTTTCAGTTTTTTGCAAATATGTCAGAAATCGTTGATGATTCAATAGATCTGAAAATACCAGTGTGTTGCATCCCTAAATAGGCAACTTTTGTTACATTTAAGCATCCTTGTAGGATCTACCGTTTCGTAGATAGCAATATATACCTAGTTGCTTCGTGGTTCTTGGGTTTTAGATTCTCTTGGAAAATGGATTTTTTTTATTTATGTATCAAGACGTTCCGCCCCTAGTCAGGGACTTTTTCAATTTTATTATTTATAAAAAAAACATATGTCGTTTCCGATAAACTTGATATGTAATCACACCACTTTTCGTTCCGTTCCAGAATAAATTGTGTTAATAGTGGAGACAATTGCCAATTCATACACATATTATTAGTATAGGAATTAGCGAATCGAATACACTTATTTTCATCAAATTGAAAATGAACTTTTCATGAATATGTTAAATAAACAATGCTACGAACTTCAGTTCGATAGACTTCATGTCGATAGATAAAGAAATTATTATGCTTTTTAACAAGTTTGATCTAGTTTTAACGACATTGTTGTGTTTCAATTGCAAATTATTTCATCAGCAAAATCGGTGTATGTGAAAACATTTGATACTTTCCTTTAAAATATTAGGTATTGTTTTGTTGTTAGTTTATTTGATGCAAAATGAATTCAAAGTGTTCAAATTGCAAAATATATCAACTGACTTGTTTTTTCTCATTGAATGATAAAGATACAGATCAAAATATTGATTATTCTTTCTATTTCAATATATGTGAGCTTTGATTTGAAGATATTCCATATTATTGATTTTTGTTTTGAAAAATTACAAAAAGACTATATTTAGAATATCACTAATAGTCAAAAAATATTTATTTTTGGAAAACTTGGAAACAACAACTCAGTGATGAAAAGTAATTTTCATATGTAAATGCGCCCCTTTTACCCCCACGGGCGCTTCCCAGGTGAAATATTCGTAAATTATTTCTTAGTGCGCATCTAAGACATGAAAAGCACCTTGACCAATTTTTAGCTTCCTAGGACTTACCACTACAGAGAAACAGAAATGAATGAAACGTAATTTGTTGAAAAATATTGACAAATATCTGTCATTGAGAGCCCGTAACTGGGTAACGAAAAATTTCAGAAACAAAAGTTATATGAAGTACTGGTGATAATCTGACCTCATCTATACATTCCCGAGAGAAAAGAGGAAGTCCAGGGATACCTTGTACAATAATAAACAACTACTCTATGAACAAAACGTTTGAAAAGCATGAATAACGAATTGAAGTAACAGAATTCCATTTAAATTCACACAAAATCAACTAATGATTATCTGTCTGTATCTGTAGAGTAGGGAGGGTGAGTGTAAGCCCACGCACTTAG